TACATCACCAAAACAGTCTCACCCGATAAATAAGTGGCGTAGGCCACAAACAGCTCCTGCCCCAGCCCCAGCCCCTGCTCCTCGCAGACCCGTTTGGGGGGGCTCTCTGACGTCGGTGAACACTTGCGTGCCGGGGGCGAGCGACCATCGCCAAGTGCCGGCAACGGGACGGGTGGTCCCTGGAACAGCAGTGCCATGTCAGTGGAACCTGCCGCCGAAGGAGAGCGGGGCGAACTATCAACTCCGCCGTCGTCATTCTACTCCATGGGTATTCTCGGGGTACGTGGCTAGATCAGGGGCTTCGATGAGGTCGGGCTTGTTCCATTCCGAATTGGCATTGGATGGCGTTAGTTGATTAACGTCTATTTCACGCCGGCCGAGTACTTGGTTAGTGGCCACGTCCCAGCTGTACGGCAGACAGCAGCAGATATAGACTACTGGTGTCAATGTTCACCTACATTCTTTTTTTTCTTCTGAAACAAAATATGATACAGTCGAGGGACCCTTTTAGTGCCGGTACGTGCACAGAGCGTTCACCGGCACTAAATCGGGCACCCGGCACTATTGCGAATAGTGCCAAAACGGCACTATTGAGGGCTGGCCAATCCCTCATTAGTGCCGGTACCGGCACTAATGAGGTTGTGTTCGATTTATGGTGTAGCGCCCACGCTTACGGGGCCAACAAAGAACGAAATGGATCGACACTATTACTGTACTGTTGAGTGAAGTTCCAGCATGGGCGTGGGCAGAGTTGAGTTTTCTTTTTGTTGTCTTGGGGCGCTCTTTGGTTCTTCATTTTCTTCTGCACCTCACTTATTTGCTTATTTGTGTACTGTCGTCGGGACAAATTCTCTCCTGTTTGCCTGGCGCACCCGCTTCGATGTTGCAAGAAAAAAAAAACAAGCACGACAGGCAGCGCACCGCAAAAAATCAAACAACCGTTACCACAGCTGTAACCCCTGCCCTCACTACTGTACGTCGGGACAAATTCTCTCCTGTTCGCCTAGCGCACCCGCTCGTGTTGCAAGGAAAAAAAAAAAAAACGACAAGCACGACAGGCAGCGCACCGCAAAAAATCAAACAACCGTTACCACAGCTGTAACCCCTGTCCTCAC